TGAACATCGCAATGGAGGCATAAGTAAAAGACCTGGACACAGCATCCCTTTTCTAAACAGCATGGCACAGTTACATCATTGTCGGCTTGCAGCATGCTGGCACATATATTTGTCCCCACATCTCTTCACAGCAAAGCAGTCCTTCTGGCGGCTCCTCTCGCTACAAGGACTGCAGGCTTCTCTCTTTCCATTCCTCCCCCTGTCAATGACGCTGTCTCTGACAATTTCACCGCCGTCTCTGGTAGGTCAAAGCCAAACAAAATTGAGTGTTGTAGTTCTTATCAATTTTTAACGGAGGGACTAGCTTTTGTGATGCCTCTACAAAATTGGATTCATAAAGCAAGTTATTGACCTGGATTTCAAGGCATGGAATTGAACGGTAACAAAAATTGCATAGTCTGATCGCTTTTGTAGAAATTATTTCTCTTCCATGACATAATGTCTCTAATGTGCACTGGAAAATGATGATAATGTACCTAATGATGCAATAATGTACCGAAGGAAAATGATGTGATGATGATGACTTTCTGAGACATGGAATTCGTTCCGAACCAACTAAGATATGCAATTAAATAGGGTTGCGTATCCATAAATACTTGCAGCATTGCAACACATGCAGTAGCATTGTAGGGGTTGCTTTCTGTCATTAATGCCGTGATGATATTGTAAGTTGTTAAAAGCATGTGCGAAGAATATTATTTTCATGGACAGGACAGTACTAATAGCCTTATTCCATGGAGGAAAAACAGAAGAATGGAGATATATACTGTGTTGATATTTCGGTAACATGGTTTTATCAAAACAATAGCGGAAGTGGCCTTCTGCTACTGTATCACATGGAAAAATTTCGTTATCTATGGCGTTGGTTGTAGCCAGTGGCGCGACGCATCACGGCGACGCAATGCGGCGTTACGGCTAGGTCGGACTTTGGACCGAGGGGAGAAAGCAGAGGGGGAGTGAAGGGATGGAGGGAGACCGGAGTTCCCCGAAGCATCCGTGCACATGCGGGCGAGAGAAGAGCGGGGACAGCGGAAAATAAGGTAGAGCGACATGATGACTAGTGCCGAAAGGCTACCGCGCGGCCGTCGCAGTCATAGAACCGACCCAGTGGGGACTGCGCGCAATCCCACCCAGCCATTCGTTCCTCCTCTCCCGCCGTCGCATGCGATTCTGTTCTCCCAGCTCCCTTGTCAGACTCTTCGTGTCGGTGGTTGTTTATGCGAGAGGCAGCCGCACAAGCAGCAAAAATAACGCGGCCCACAACCATGCATAGTAAACGTGGGAGCACCACCTTAGAAATCTGACGGGCGAGTTGGACCGGGCACTGGGACCTAAAACAGCCACGTGCGCATGTGCGCTTCGGACCACCCGCCGATGAAGAGCCCCGCGCGACGCTCAGGGCAAGGCTTAAATAAGGGATTAACGTAGGCGTGTTGTGCCACGTTCCTTCCCCTCCCTATACAGTTGCTGGAAAGTTCCGCCCTACACATTCCCCGGGCTATGGGGTGAAAGCAGAGGCGGCACCAGGGGACATCGGATCGTGCGATGGTGCGGCTCGTGTCAAGCCAGGCGTGACTCAACTTCTTCCTGACGTCACGCCTTCTCGATGTCGACCATCACTGTGAAGTTGGGCCAGGTACGTATTTGTTGATCTATACGCAGACGCACATGAGCTCATGATCGTTCCCCTCTGCGTGACTTCCCTGCGTCCACGCCTGGGCAAAGGTTGCGCCCCGACCTCCGGTCGGCGGGACGGTGGGTGGGGGTGGGGGGGGAGGGTATCGGGAAGGGTCGGCGTCGGCGGGACGGGGGCTTGGGAAGGGGGGGGGGGAGAAGAGGGGACCGGGTCGGTCGCGTCGGACGGGCACAGTCACAGGAGAGACGTAGTGCCGGTGACACCTGCGAGCAAGACCGCTCTCTTTTGGTGACAAAGTTGGACTGCTCGACTCTCAGTGGTTGCTGCAGCGACGTGACAAGTAAAGAGACTTGTATTCTGATCAGAGCAAGGTCCGAGAGTGAGGTGAGTACGCAATGGCTTGCTGTGCGGCACTTAGGCCGCTCGCACCTGATTCAGCCGTGTCAGTTGTGACATCGGCTCATATCGTGATTTGCGCTCTGGCTGCCTTTGACTGCTTTTTTTATTGAGCTTCGCTTTTTTGTGCTGATGTTACTCGAGCCGTTTGTGTCGCTGTGATAGAGAGATGAATATAATAAATATCGAGTGAGATGGAGATAGGTGAATTTAGTGAATATGGAGTGAGATGGAGAGAGCTGAATGTAGTGGATATCGAGTGAGATGAAGAGAGGTGAATATAGTGAATATCGAGCGAGATGGAGATAGGTGAATATAGTGAATATCGAGCGAGATAGAGATAGGTCAATATAGCGAATATCGAGTGAGATGGAGAGAGGTCAATTATAGTGAATATCGAGCGAGATGGAGAGAGGTCAATATAGCGAATATCGAGTGAGATGGAGTGAGGTGAATATAGTGAATATCGAGAGATGGAGAAAGGTGAATATAGTGAATATCGAGGGAGATGGAGATAGGTGAATATATTGAATATCGAGTGAGATGGAGAGAGGCCAATATAGTGAAATATCGAGTGGAGATGGAGAGAGGTGAACATAGTAAATATCGAGTGAGATGAGAGATGTCAATGTAGTGATATTGAGTGAGATGGAGAGAGGTGAGTATAGTGAATATCGAATGAAATGGAGAGATGTCAGTGTAGTAAATATAGAGTAAGATGGATAGGATCAATATAGTGAATATCGAATGAAATGGAGAGATGTCCAGTGTAGTAATATCGAGTAAGATGGAGATAGATCATATAGGAATATCGAGTGAGATAGAGGGCAGAAGCCAATGTGCCGACCGAACTGCTCGAAGGTTCCATGCCCTAAGCCTATGGGCCGTTCTTCTTTGACCAGATTCCGCCAATGATTTGTTGGATTGAACATCAGCAGAGTCACAGCAACGAGTCGGTGTTGCGTGACTGTAAATTTGATCAGTTACTTACAATTGTCACACAACTCTTCGAGCGATAGTCTTGCTAACTTTGAAAACTGATACAAAGGTACCTGGCGTATTCATACTGGGGGCACTGACAAACCGTCGTTGGGGAAAGGAATGGCAAGTCAGTATTTTTAAGACTAAGGATCAACGGTGCTTTAAATGAAAAGGTGATCTTGCCAATGCTCTCTCGGAAGCTGCCAGCGTTCTCTGGAAAACTGCTAGTGCGAGTGATCACGAGACACTGCACATGCTCGGCACGGTCCAAGTCAAACAGCTAGAGCGATGGTAGGAGACGCAGCGGTTGCAGTGGTGGTCACAGAGGGGCCAACAGAGGCAAACGCGGCGCCGGTCAGGGAGACGCGGCCAGGCCGTTATGTCCATTGTAGAGCCGGCGGAGGCGCCACCGGAGGGGCTGTGGGGCTGGCAGGAGCGCAACCGGCGGGATGTGGAGTTCGTGAGGGCGCCACCGGCGGGGATGTGAAGTCGGTGAGGGCGCCACCGGCGGGGCTATGGAGGGGCGAGGACGCCACCGGTGGCGCTGTGAGGCCGATGAGCCGGCGAGGGCGCCGTTGGCAGGGTTCTGAAGGCTGGCGGGGGGGGGGGGGGGAGGGGGGGAGGCGGGTACCAGGGGAATATGCAGCCTGCAAGGGCGCCACCGGCAGGGTTGAGGTGTGAGTGAAGCCGCCACCGGCAAGAATGTAGACCCATCGGTTGCACTGAAACTGTATTTATCTTTAAATATTTTGGGGATTGATCTGAGAATGTTATGCTGTATTTATGACATGCTCTTTCGACTTGCTGCCGTGACCTTAACTGAACCCCACATGTTCTCCTCGCCTGAATGCCTTGGGGCACTCATAACACTGCTGAACGCCTGCGAACTCGTCGCCAAGTTGCAAAAGTTGGTCACTGACTCTTCGAAAAACACATTAAAACATGCCTTTGATTACATATCGCAACACCTGGCATTTAACTGGTATTCAGCACACAGTCACTATTAAATGTGTCTGTGGAATGACCCCGTTAATCGGTCCAGCACCTTTGTAAGAGCAACGGTTCTGGAAAGGGCTGACAATAATAGAGTAACGTGCCGAGCCTCAGCGGCTGCGCCAGTCTCCGATCAGCCGGCAGACGTGTGTCCCGGTCAATAGCAGCAGGTGACGGGCGCTTGACGACCGAGCCGTCCGTGCCGACCATGATAATGGCGCGCGTCCGTCCCTGGAGGGGTACCCCCGCAGGGTCAGGGAGACAGCTGAGCGTCGCTCGGCGTCCAGCACTGTACCGGGATGGCGGGGTTCAGGGCCGGGGAAGGGGGTCGTTCGCCCGCAACTGCTGCTCAGGTGGACTATGTCGCTCAGTCCGCGACCGTCGAGAATCGAAGGAATGCTGCTTCCCTGCATGTACGCGCTTTTCACCGTTGAATGTGAACGTACATATGCGGCCGCCCGTACGTCATGCCATACTTGGGGTGGGTTTTGACTGCGCGTAACTACTGTGTAGCAAGGTGGAGAGGTTTTCAAAAGTGTAACACCACTCTCAGGTGTGGCTGCAAAGCATGTTAAAACGTGTAACAGATATTTTCAAACGTCGTCAGATATCGCCTGGCAACGAATACTTTTGCGGCAAACGGCGTGACCATTTTTGTTTGAAATTTCTTGGTCAATTAAGTGCCAAACGGAGTTTTGTTACCTTGTGCATCGTTACGTCTTGCAACGCTTAACCAGGGGAAGGGGTTTCTCCCACCGTAACCAGTGCCCAAGTACCGGGTTGTGGTGTTGAAAAACGGCCAAAAGTGCTAACTGCTGGTTATGGACAGCCTCTACTTATTGAACAATTGTGTGATATTTGAACCGACTCCGTCATTGCGTGCCCTTACACAGCTACTGGCAATCCAGCGCTTTGCTACCCAGCCGTTGAACTGGATTTCCTTTCCCCTCAACAGACCTCTTGCGGTCCGGAAGGGCGGCCAAGCGTGCGCACGATGTCAGATACAGACGCGCCGGAAATCGTGAGGAGGACGGCGGAGATGATGAACAGCGAGCTGATGGGCGCCGCCCTCCACGGCTGGCACTTCGAAGTTGTCCAACTGCTGCAGGAGGGTATCGACGTCAATGTGGAGGCCCTCTTCCACGCGGGAAACGAACACACAGGTCAGTCGCACGGGTGGTGCGCTGCAAGGAAACGTCGTGGGTGTTGGCATGCTTGTGATGTGTGACTAGTTTTGGATTGCTGTATCTACGGGTGTCGATTTGTATTCTGTTGTGATGGCTCTGCCCCCCCCCCCACAATGTTGAGTTGGCCCCGCATTTTTTTTTGGCTGGAATGCTACAAAACCCGTGGGTAAAAGATGATCATAACTCGAAGGCTATCTGCTTTGATCTTTCGCGTAGTGGCATCTCGAGCCACTCTCATAAAGAAAAATCATGGCTGCTCTCACCGCAAGAAAAAAATCGTGACAGCTGAGCGGATAGATAATGCGGTAAACTTCACATGCCTGGCACCATGAGACATTCAATGGTTTACCAGGTTAAAATATAAAGCTCCGGAATACAGGAATGACATTGGTCCTTCATGGCCAACCCCATCCCCGTCCCCCACAACCGAAAGGCGTGCCGCCTCCTATGACCGCCATAGAAAAGCGCCATCGACGCTTAAAGGGGCGCCTTCATGTGGCGATCAGAAGAAACGCGCGCATCCAGTGCCTGCTCCCTGGATCCAGCCCTACTTGATTACTGGACTGCTTAAATTAAAGACATCTTTAAATTATACAAAGATTAAAAGCATATTCTGCGTTTAAGCAAAACAAAGTGGGCTAAATCCGGTGAGGCAAAAATGGGGGAGGGAGGGTAGGTTGTCAGGTCTTCGGTTCGCCCCCCCCCGGACATTTTACAAAAAGTGACACACCTGGTTGAATCTCCTGAAGCTACCATAAGTATGTCATCACAGTACGTCATCACAATTTGCTTTTGTCAGGTGTATCATATATTAAAATCTGTCAGGGCAAATGCAGAATTTTGTAATCGGTAGAATAGATGACGTTGTTTTCACAGAAAGTTGTCGTACCGCGGGCGCCCTGAATTCCTAGGATGGCTTACAACAAGAGCGCATGTTCACAATCTCTTTATGCGACGGGTCTACTTGCATTGCTGATATTCATCCGAATGCGCGAGCACGATATTAATACACATGAAAAGGTGAGCCTAATGCCTTTCCCCTTGAATTTGACTTTATAATTAATATGGCACCTTCTTTCTTCTATGTGCAAGTTTTGATCCTCTCGATTCTTTATTACATAGCATTTTGTTCAATGGACACCCATAACAGCTTCCAGAAGTCCAGACATGATTTACAGTTTGGCAAAGTAATCTGTGGAGAGTGGGGATGTGGTATAATGGTTAGGACGCTCGGCTCTGGGCGTGTCGGTCCTGAGTTCAGTTTTCTGCGATACAACTACCGCATCCAATATGCAGCCTAGTAAAGGCTTGCCGTCTCCAAATAACGCAGTTGGTGAAACATTACCCCACCATTATTATTACTTAAGTAATCTACAGCTTTAAAATATTGAACATCATGATTGACCAACGCCAAGACTGATTGGGAACTTTACTTTGAACATGAGAATGTATCACACTTTTGCGTTGGCTCATCAGGCATTTTGTGTGCGGGGTGACCGGACCTGCTCGCTTGTAAGTTTTTACACAAGCCTCTTCTCGCGAGCGGCACACTAGACAGGAGGCCTCCTGTCTACTAGACAGGAGACAGGAGGCCTCCACGAACCAGTCTCAAACCGAGGTGGGCAAACAGCGCGTCCGCTGGCAGACGGTCCCCCAGCATAACGCGCTGCCGCCAGAACTGGCTCCCAGTAACAGCCATGGACATGAAATGCCACTGGCTGGATACCTCGGCAAACAATTTTGTGTCTTCATTAACAGTTTCGTCTGACTGTTGTGTGTTAATCTATGCACGTCCGCCGGAATCGGTATGCATGAAGCTTTGGCAACATCCTACACTTTCTTGATTCGTGACGTGCTTGAGTTAGGATGAGCCTTCTAACCTTGTTTAGTTACGCATCGCCCAAAATATGTATTTTTGTCCATGGAGCAGGCGTGCTACACTTCTGAAAGAGTATTTATGCTCATTTAAAGCTTTTAAATCTTTGCATACACCTTAGCTGTACTTTTTGCTGACGTCTTACCCAGCTTGACCGACTCATGTGCTCTGGCCGCAGTGTACCAGGCCCTGACGTACGCCATCATGGGAGGCCACGTGCACGTGGTCCGGACCCTGGTCGAGGCTGGTGCCCGTTTGGAAGACGAATGCGGCCCCGGCTGCGAGACAGCACTGATTACGGCTGCAACTCTCGGGCACACGGAGATCGTCCAGGTACGGACACCCTCGGCCTCCGGTCTGTCCGTGAACAGCCGGCAACAGGGGCAGCCTTCTGTCACATCAGACCCCCGTCCCAGCTGGCAGCAGCCCGCTGTCACGTCAGGCCTCCTGCCCCCACGTCAGGCCGCCGTCCCGGCAGCAGAGTTCCCAGGTTGTGTTGTGAGGCACTCAAGTTTTTATGAATGGGGTGTGTTGTTGCCGACATTTATTTGCCACCCTGTTTCAGAGCAAGGCATTCGACTCCCTTGCCTCCCGAGCCTCCCTTGCGTCGCGCAGCCGAGAATGCTGTAGTTACAGCGGCCGGTACCGTTCGCCCAGTCAGGCCTCGGGCTTGTGTATTTGCACGTACTGGCTTGCAGACTGACCGCAATTGTGTTCTTGTTTCAGCATTTGCTGGAGCACGGCGCTCAAGTGAACGCTACCTCCCGTTGGAAACAGGTACGTCCTTTGTGACATGGAGTAAGATGCGATGAAGCAGATGGACACAGCTCCGTATCGTTGGTGACATGACTTTGATCTTGGCTTGAAACAAAACAGATAGTCTGTCTGAGCTGTAGATTTTCGAGGTTTGTAAGATTTTGTGCTTGACATGCAAATTGTCGAAATCCCATGCGCCGTCGAGCTTATGGCATAACTAGTGTTAGCGGGGATGGTGTTCATCTCCTGGATTGCTACGGCATTAGATAAATTGTCATTAGGCTTAATTGTTACGGCGTAGATCGCCGAGACTTATCATCCTTTCAATCCGTTTTCGTCTTGAGAGCTAAATTGTTTGATAAAGAGCATAGTGCTGCCACGCCCGAATATACAAGTGACTTTCCAACAGGCCACTCCGGAACAGTCCGAAAGGTTTCACAGACTGGTTACACCGTCCTCCTCCCCGCAGAACTCGGCACTAACGGCAGCCTGTGAGCGGGGCAGCGCAGAGATAGTGCGCCTCCTGCTGATGGCGGGCGCGCACATGGAGCACCAGAACCTCCAGAAGTACACACCGCTGATGGTGGCCTGCGATGGCTGCCACCTGGAGGTGGTGCGGCTGCTCATCAGCAGCGGTGCTCAGGTGCGGACCACACACTGCTGGGCAGGCCCATCACCGAAGACGGTGGGTCCGCGGGTGGCGGGGATGCGCCGATGATTGCCAACGTATGCAGCTGATATGGCAACTACGAGTTGGGCTGTACTTAGCCCACAAAGTCTCAATATCTGTCGGTTTTAAGATAGTTTGACTCTCCAGGCTCTCTCTTCAGTTTATGAAGTTATATCGTCTAATATGTGGTCTAAGTCTGGTACTATGAATGCTATGGTGCCGCCGCCGAGTTACTCAGCGACACCTGCTATGTGGGGAGACCGACCGCCATGTCCTCTTTGGGCGGGGCGGGGGGGGGGGAGGGGGAGCGGCGCACCGTACGGCAGGTCTTGATGGATGGTGCCCACCTCACGTTGGAACGCATGCCCCATTTGGGACCAGGATCCGTGCGCCAGACGCCCTATGACATCTTGATAGATGACTCGAAAGGATTAAGGACGGCAATATTTTCCATTTTCTTGAAGACGTTCAATGTCCTGTAATATACCTAACTTAACATTGCCTCCTTACTGTTCATAATCATTTGTTAAATGAGATGTAAGTTATGAGCACCACGTGACCACGGCAGACGACGTACCCTAAGGCCCAAATCATCTTAATCATCACATTTCCACCCTTCGGTTAGAACTGAAATGTGTGGCAAAAGTTATATTGGACGGCACTTAACATCATTAACATCAGTTTCAGTAGTTTATTACAAATGTGGCGATGCATGGAAAAATGATGGTTGCCGATGGTACTTTCTACTTAAGAGTAGTGTTATTCACCATGCAGATTCTTGGCTGTTCGGTGAAACGGGGTTCTGTCTTTCGGTACCTGGTATTTAATCGCCGTCCGCTCACACGTGATCATCTGCACCTAACCCTCATGACTGGACCCGACCCCTTGGACCAATGGCCTCCGACCTGTGATCTGATCTCTTACTACTGACCCTGAGCTCTTGGCCCTAGTCTAACCCGTAGGGTAGCGGATGACCCTGGCACGGGACTCGACCTCCGACCAGTGACCCCCGACGTATGACCTGACCTCTCACCCCCAATCCCCGTGACCGTGACCCTAGCCTGACCTGTAGGGCAGAGGATGTCCTCGATGTCACACGTGACCGTGGTCCTGACGTGATCTTTGAACTGACCCTGACTCCTGATCGCAGCCGACAGAGCCGCCGGGTAGTCCGATCTCGCCGCTGCTGTTGGCAGCGCAACATGGCCATCTGGAGGTGGTCCGGCTTCTGCTCGGTCAAGGCGCCGACACAGAAATTGTTAACCAAGCAGGACACACCGCCTTAGTGGAGGTGGCCAGGTCAGTGGCTTCCCGTAGGGAAATATCGACGCGGTATTGGATTAAACTGTTCTAAGAGGTCGCGATTCTCCAAATTTCAAAGCATTGCGAACGTGTTTCAAGTATGCATTGGGAAGAACGATCGTGTAGTAAGGGAGCTGTAGGTTTAAGTCGGCAGGCTTTAGACCCGATGGAGAGTGATTTGTTCAACAATCCCATATATTCGTAAGACCAAGCCTGAAATGTACGTACACTTAGTGGTCTGGATGGGTCCGTAGTTTCTGAAAAAAGCCAGCAGCGGCATGAATAAGATATGTTTGTGTTGTAATGTGTAAATGTTTTAACTAGTAGTGCTTCTATTCCTCTCTTCCCGCGCGTGACCTGTGGCGGCTCCGATTTTGACTCTTGCCGGCCTCAATGATCTCACCGCTCTCTGGGGCGCATCGGTGGTGGACAGCGCCTTGTACCGATTCCACACGCTGTGCGAAAAAGTGCAGATAAGAATAAAAAGGGTCATAGTCCTGTGTATGAGGTGTTCTACAGCTCTGCTCACATCTTTGGCAGGGTGTATATTTGGTCGGATCGGACGGCATTTAAAGGGAAAGTTTCACATTTGAAAAGGAGAAAAGACATGATATTGCATGAAAAGCTCACGATTACGTATCAAACGATGCTGACTCACGCTGATGGTGACACAATGCGTATAAAGTAAACTAGTCTGATTATCCTAACGTGAAGGTGACGTGAAGGTCTCTCCATGTCCAAGTCTCCAGACGCTGACAATGTGCCCCTTTCCTGCTCCAGAAAAGGGCTCACTGAGCTGGTGGCCCTTCTGCTCTCGTATGGCGCTCATGTCAACTTCATCACAGAGGACGGCAAGAGCTCGGCACTGTCGTTGGCGTGCGCCAATGGACACCTGGAGACGGCCCACATCCTGGTCAAGGTCACGATCTCAGGGGTACCCCAGCATACGGCATTCACTGCTTGAACACGTTGTTCCCAGGCGAATCCTCATCTGAAGTGTACTGCCACGCATCTGTGTCATGCGGTGCATGCTCTTAAAGGGAGGATGGCCACTTATTAATCATTAGTTGTTGCTTACACCATGTGTCTCTTACAGTTGGGCTAGCTCGGACGCGACAAACATACGAGCGCTTTCTAACATCCAGTTTAATACAAAATTAGCCGCGAGTGATTGAGGGGAGAGCATCTGGAAATAACTTCTAAGGATTATTTTGGATGTGTTGTGGCGCGTTTCCTCTGCTGGCATGCACCAATCTCCACCAATGCAGTTTGCGACGTTACACTATCTCTGGCGCACCCGTGATTATCAGCTCTGACCTTATTTTAACTGCCGGTCTGATATCATCGTCGGCCATCGACACAGACTGTTGCAAGGAGCCCAGTAAAACACTCTGCATCCCCGGGAATACTCGGCACCGCCCACTGCCTCCAGCGCTTCCCGTCACAGTGCCCGTCACAGCTGACACTCGTGTCTGGGTCACTCTCACAGGACGGAGCCGAGATCAACAACTGCGCTGTCTCACCGCTGTTTGAGGCCGCGTGTGTCGGCAAGGACGAGATCGTCGAGTAAGTCTGGTTGCCTAATGCAGCCTGCCAGTGCCGTGGACTTGGGCCAGGCGTGTTCTGCTTTGCTCACGTCGCCGATATTGCAAGTTGCTTACACTGGCAACTAGAGATTGCCAAGAAGGCCGAAATGTCGCCACGAAACCTCCGATTGTTTCATAAAGACCATTTAAGTTTCAGTTTCAGTTTTCAGATGATAAAAAAGTGCGAATCAAAAGTTTGCACGGAACTTGCGAAAAAAAATTAGTAAGGCGCTGGAACGAAACCTTCGGGTTCCTTGCAGTACCTGTTTAAAACTTGTCTCTGCCTGCCGACGCTTCTGGACTATTCTTATTATTTAGCACGTCTGTTAGCATGCCAGTAATGAGCTTTCTCATCGTGCCAATCTCCCTGTGCAGCGGAGCTCGCCGTATCAGTCTTTCCTCCATGGCTGGAGAAACACCGCCCGTGATGGGACTCGATCCCGCGGTTACCAACACTGACCGATCGAGCGCCATGCCTGTGACATCTGGTCGCTGGTTCTGGAGGCTTATCCGACGGCTGCGCTTTTCGCAGTTGGCTGCTGCGGCTGGGCGTTCCGGTGCAGCATGAGAACAGTGACGGAGACACGGCACTGATCAAGGCAGCCCGGCACGGCCAGACGGCGGTGGGGCGCATCCTGCTGGAGCACGGCGCTGATGTGGTGAGCGATCCGCACTACCGAGCGTCCAGACGTGGCCAGCGTTCTCTCCCGACGTTCTCCAGCGTTCTCTGTCCCGATTTATTTTGACGTGATGCACATCGAAGTCATGAGGAGCCCTGCACTTACACAGCCACTTATCATTCTCCAGTACATACGCTCACATCGAGTCTCGCTACCAGTCGCTCTCATGTTCTCAGCCAGCCCAGTGTTTTCAGATCGTCACGTGACGTCCTCACAATTACCTCCGCCGGCCTGCAGGAGGCGCTGAACCACTGCAACCGCTCAGCGCTGATGGAGGCGGCTGCTGGAGGCTACAGCGGTGTCGTGCTGTTGCTGTTGGGCTATGGCGCGAACGTGAACCGGCCCTCGCCCGACGACACGGCCACGGCTCTGAGCCTGGCCTGCCGCGGCGGCTGGCACCACACTGTCCGCCTGCTGCTGCTGCGCGGAGCCGACCCCACGCACCGGCTCAAGGCAGGTGGCCGCCGTGGCCGGGCCTGACGCTCGGGCGAGGGCGCGAGCTGGCCTGGCTGGCGCCGCTGGGTTGTGTGGCGCCCAGCTGACGCGGCCCGGAGAGGAGAGAGGGCTGCACTCAGAGGAGGGGGTAGGGTACTGGAGGCAGGGTGGGATGAACAGTGGGTAGGAGAAGGAGAGCCTTGCAGAGGTCAGATTTTCTTTGTCCAAGCCACCCGCTACCCACGGAGCCGTGTCCACACCCACCCACTACATATTTGCAATGACTAGTACACACCCGTTATCAAAACGTTTGCACTGCCAAGCACTTCAATTCTAAATCATGGAAACTTTCAGGAAAGTTTACGCCTAGTCCTTCTTCTTTGCGTTGCTTATTGCAAAAATAGTATCAATGAAGCTTTTATTACTAAAAGAAGCGGAAAATAACCTTTTCAGTGTTGCTTGGATTATCCACATACCATTTCGCAAACGCCTCGCTCACGTCTTAAAACGTGAATTCCCTAAAATACTTACCCAACCAATCCGTTCCACATTCCATTTGAATACCCATGGGTTTACCCAGCCAAGCAGTAGCATAATGATCTAATAGTGGGGCTTGTAACCCGTGGGACTCATCAGTCTTGCAATGGGGGACGGCTCTGACGGCTCAGGATGTGAAGACCTGTCAGAGGGTGATTACAACGCTGATGACGGGTCAAAGGGTGGCAATGATCGTCAGCCCAGATCTGTTGGGCAGGAGTGTGCGAGCAGCTATCATCCGATCGGTCCTGACGGGCCATCTGGCCGGGCTGGCTATCCCCCCGCCGTCAGCGGCTCGTATCAGCACGAGGAGAGCGGTGTCTTCAGCGTGTCCGGTGGGCGGACCGGCACTGCGTCACGCCGTGACGCTGTTCTGCTCGAGAGGCGCTGCTGAATTGCATGCACTCTACACCAGCGTGGAAATGACTATTGCTTCAAAGTCGGGCGCCTAGAAGCGCGTGACGATTTCTGACCGGCACCTTTCTTTCCAATCCCCAGGGTGATTCATCAGCCCTGGTGGAGGCGGTTTTGAGGGAGCATGTGGAAGTGGTTCGTCTTCTCCTGCGGTTCCCGAACATTCCTCCGCTCTCTGATGAAGAGGTGAGGCCGCGTCATCCGTGACGTCACGGTGCAGTCAGCTGTCTCCTGCGTATCCACCGCTCCTGACCGCAAATGCTCCCATTCTGTTGTGTGGGCGATGACTGGATCATTTCACATTAAGAAGCGGTGGTTGACAAGGGCTAGGTTTTCACGTCTGGTATTGTTTCCGAGTGGGTTGTGCTTATTGGGCATTTCTAACTCCAACAGGGTGACAGCATGACCTTCGGCATGCGCGAGCTTTTTGTCTCTCTGTCACGGCCGTCCTCCACCCCCAATTTCGGGTTACTTTTCTTCAGGCTTGGCCTGCTTAAACATACGATAAAAGGCAATGAAGCCGTATCATTTTTTTTTAAATTAGTAAGTGCAACAAAAATATCTACATTGCAAATCCGATTCCAAGACTGGATGAATACATGAAGATCATTGGGAACCGTGTGGACAGAATCTGTTGAGTGATTGTGTACCGGAAACTGTTGCCGGGACATGAAACGTGCGATTGCAGCTCATTTAAGAACCTGATGCTTGGTTCAGCCTGATGTGGACAAATAGTAGAACGCAAGGAGGCGGTGGTACAAAGCACAAAGAAAAAATAGTTTGCATGCATAAACTGTCTGTTGGCAGAGCGTCTGTTGCTGTACCCCGCCAAGCAGCCGATACCGCGTGAGGCTCTACTTATAATATGCATGTCATTCCGCTGGCTTGTACCATCTGCGGGACTCGTGCCCGTCCAGTGCCGGTTAGCTATGGCTTTAAGATCCTCTCCCCCTGGGTGTGAAACTGAGCCTTTACGTTCGTTTTTCTGCCGGCAGCTGGCCTCCCTGATCGATGAGGAGATGGACTCGGATGAAGAAGTCGATCCCCAAGGTGGGAGGTATGACAGCCAGGACAGAAAAGGCCACAGGCAGGGCGAAGCTCAGCAGACACAGGACGCGGATTTGTTCTGGCAGGACAGAGAACTCCAGACGCGAGAGAACAATGTATTCAAGCAGGACGAAAACTGCTTCATCGAGGGGGAAGACGTTCTCAGCCAGGATGAAACGTCATACTCGAGCGACAGCTCAACAGAATGCTCCGATGACACGGACGACAATGCCTCTGACGATGATGATGAAGACGATGATGGTGATGACGCAGGTGGGTGTCTGTCTCTCCGTCATGGGAATCAAGCAAGCTGACCGCATGCGAGGCGGCTCTGTGCATCAGCTGAAGCTCCGGTGGCCGTTCCCCTCACTGGCCGACTCTCGTGGTCCAGCCAGATGGACTGAGGACGGAGCGTTGGGAGCGTGTTCACTTAGCCTCCCCAATGTCATCAGTGCATGGCGTGTTTGGGTATTATGTGAAAGCTAAATGAATCTCCGAACAACGGTGCGGTTCGTGATCAAGGTATCACTTGACTCGCATTCACTCTCCCCGCTAATTAGTACTGCGGAAGACCAGACTCGCAGTTAAAACCTGTCCTGGTCAAGCTCAGTTACTTAAGTCACTTCCTCATCACGTTTAACCTTATCCATGTAACAGTGGAATGCCGGAAACTATATATGAATGCAAGTTATTCCGTTTTGCAGACAGCGGTATGCAGTCTGCGTCCTCCAACGACCAAACGGTAGGGCACCCCTGGCAAGTCACTGCACACCGAAGTGCATCCATGTTAATTTCACAGTCAAAATGTCATGACTTGCATTGCATAATCACTCTGACCACCAGATCGGCTATAATCAGTGAACTGCCGACTTTTGGAAAATCGTACACAACGTTGACTTTCTCTAACGACGTCAATTGCTGTGCTTTTATTAATTAGTTCTTGAGTTAATTGCTGCACAGTTCGTACACTGCAGTTCCCTGCCTTTATTGCTGCTGCCCTTCTTTTCATCGCTCGTGTTATTTGCTGGGATGCCATGGTATCCCACCCGTTGCTAAGCATGGATAAATTCAATTAATAAAAACAATACAGATGTACATAAACGGCCAGGTGCTTCTGTTACAGTTTCCGTTTCTTCCACAGGGCGGCGCTGCATGTGCGCGAGCACACGAAGCCGTCGCCGCGTCTCCAGCCGAGGATTCTAAAGCCTCTGGCTCAGAGGCAGCGGCTTCCGAGCCCTCTGACTCAGAGGCAGCGGCTCAGCCTCTGAGCGGCCCGGTGACCGGCGCCCAGCTCACCCGCAGGGCTGAGTTCCTCAGGCAGCAGAGGCTGGACATCCGGGAGAGCGTTGTTCAGTACCTGCGGGACGACGCCGCCCTGTCTCGTCTGAAGGTCAGTCATCGGGTCACCCTCCCCCCTCATTCCCTGCTCTCCATTGGGGGACGCGGGCGGGTTCAGGGTCGGCCCGTGTCACGCGGAGTGGGGTAGGGGGTATGGGTGAGTGAGGTGGGGACGGGTGTTGATTGTTAAACGGGCTGATGTAGAGGGATCGATGAAATGTGCAGGGACATGGCTGCAGGAGCATTTGGAAGAGAGGAAACGAGACCATTGTAAGACACAACTGGCAGGTGGACCTATCACAGGGGTGGTGACTGGCTGGAGGTCATCTCGCACGGATAGGAAAGGCACAGCGCTTAGAAGAGCCACCTCCCCCCTTTTCGACTTTGGACAATCTAGCATTGTCCTGCGGTGTTTCACGTGTGAAGATAGCAAAGGGACTGACGTTGCACCCTTCCTTCCTCCCATTTGCCCCTCCCCTCCCCCCCCCCCGATGGGTTTCACCGTCACTGATCAGACGAAATGCAGTTCGCGCCTGTGTGCCGATGAACATCCCTGGAGTATTTCAACCCTGTAACGATTGGCCTGTGGTCGAACAACAAATGACAGAGCAATATTCGCCAGTGTGACGGTGTGTAGGTGAAGTCTGAGGAGGAGGGTGTTGGTGGGAAGGGGAGGGGTGAGGTTATAGGATGGCTGGACATTGCTGATTGGAGCACACCGCCCCGGCTGTGATCGGTTTAATACGTCCTTTGATGTGTGTTCCTCAATTTTCTACGCAAAAAAAAGAACGCACAAAGCTGCTGTGCTATCACAAATAAAACCCATGGAGCTCCTTGAGGCCTATATGGCAGCCAAGCGTTTTGCAGGAAAAACGTGTGAAACTTATACTTGCATGTGTATGCCGCTGCTGTTTGCTGCTGCGGGTTTCCGACAGCATCGTCTTTTGTCTGTGCCACGCGACCGTGACCTCACATGACCCAGAGCACCGCCCTTTCGGCCTCCGAGGTGTCTCATCGTCGTGCTGATCTTGACCTCGCTGCCGAGCAGACCACGCTGAGGCAGCAGGAGACGGTGACGCCCGCCGAGAGGGAGGCCTTCATGCTGGAGAGGGACAGGTTGCAGCAAGTCCACCAACAACTTCAACAGCGGCTGCGGGAGAGCGAACAAGAGGTGTGTCTTCGGCGGTCGGTGCTCGACCGCATGACTATTGTTGACTATTTTTGACTGTTGACTATCTTGAATATTGCTTTTGCACTTTTTACGCCTGACTAAACCGTGGACTATCCGGACATGACAAAGCGCGCGGCCGCGTCACAAAAAGTAACTGCATATTTTTTGGTTGTTTTATTAAAGCCGACCGCATAGAGTCCCCAGTGTATCAATGCAAAGCTTCGATTGGTCCACTTTGGTCATCTGTAGAGGCACGAATGGTTAATATTTTCCGTGACGTCATGTAGATTATTTCTCCGAAGCGGCGATTCTTTTCTTATTTTTTATCATCTTTGGCCATCGACCGTGCGGCAAGCATACGGTCGCCCCCTAAGCAGAGCCACTCATGTAGCCGCGCCCGAGACAGCTGGTGGGAGTTGGCCTTCACACATCAAATATCACGATGGTCGTCAGGGAAAATAAAACTTAAACTTCGCGGAGGTCATGTATTAAGCAATGGATATCGTTTAATGTCTGAATGGAACATCTGTCGTGTAATAAGCTTCCAGCGCCTTGCTTCCAACATTGCCATACCCGAGTCCTCTTTGTATTTTGACGGACGGCGATCGACTAGAACGATAACGGAGTTGTGTCCAAGGCGTCCTGTTCACGAGCGTTCATGGTCCGAACCTCCTCTGCCCGCCAGATCACGGAAGACTTCAAGGTCATCCACCAGAACGAGGAAGTCCCCATATCGCCCCAGCAGATAGAAGGTGCGGCTTAGTTGGTACTGTAGTCCACAGCTGACGGGCAAGCCTAGGTTCCTCTCTGGTCAGCCGCAGGAGCAGGAGCTTTGTGTCGGAGTAGGAACAGGAGCTGGCGCAGGAGACTTGCATGAGTTCCGCGGAGCCCGGAAACCAGCTGCTGTAAAGAGAACCTCGGCATTATTTTTACAAAAAAGTACATTTACGTGCAACATATGTATACAAGCATATATATATATATATATATATATATATATATATATATATATATATATAGATATAGATATAGATATAGATATAGATATATATATATATATATATATATATATATATATATATATATATATATATATATAATGTCTCATGGGCGCACCTCGCTTCACACCTGTCTGTGTGTCCGGAAATGGTGTTGTCTGGACTGGATCTGGATCGAATCCGTGCGGATCGCAGCCCTTGTAATTGAAATGGATTCTGAACCAAATGATTCAGGTGCTATCGGGGTATGCGATCAGAGGTGGCATTCCGTGAGTCAGAGCTGGTCGTCATTGGTGCTGTTTTTCTGGGCGAACCGTTGCCGCTATTCGTCCTGCACAATCTCACCACTCTTCGCTCGTGACGTGCTTCCATGTGACCGTGACGTGCTTCCATGTGACCGTGACGTGCTTCCATATGACCGTGACGTGCTTCCATATGACCGTGACGTGCTTCCATGTGACCGTGACGTTCTTCCATGTGACCGTGACGTGCTTCCATGTGACCGTGACGTGCTTCCATGTGACCGTGACGTGCTTCCATATGACCGTGACGTGCTTCCGTAAGCATCAATGCTGCTCCTCGTTCCGGTGAGGTGGTGTGTTAACGATGCTGCCACGTAAAACTGATTGGTAAACCAAACCGTGCTTCACATATTGTGTTTCCTGGCCGACGGTGTCGACCCTGGTGGCTGGGCAGCGAACTAACACTTGGTCGTGTTCACAGCAAGGGGAAGGCGATTTTTGCCAGAATTTCTGGTGAACCGGGTGTCGTTCAGCGACCAGCAGTCGCCGCTGGGCATGGCCTGCTCCCTGGGAAACGTCGAGGTGGTCCGTCTCCTCCTGGATAACGATGCTTCGATCGGTTAGTCTGGGGCGAACTTATTTCGATACGGTAATTGTGTTTGGTTTACTTTATGGCAAGGAGTTTCGCATAGCTGCTCGAATTTTAAATTTGCGCTTTCAAGCGTTCCCTGCCAGAAACACAGCCATCTCATTTCTGGGTTAATGTTTACCAATGGGTGTTTCCTGGGTTATAAAGACAAAGGCTCAGCTTTAGGCAAGGGTGCCGCTCACCAGATGTAACAGACATCGGAGCTTATGCGTGGTGTGCCAGCTCACAGACAAAGACATCGACATAACACCGCATAATTTAAGATAAACAGATACGAGCTTCCCATTAGGTGCAAATTGACTTATTTATTGGGTACATGTATTTGCCGTAACCGCTGAGGGCGTCCGTGTCTGTGTTTGTATGCGCGTGTGGGAGATGAGGACAAAGTTCGTCGAAGGCGCGCAGCTGAGAGACAATGTAGTTGAACCGCAAACCACACCCACCACTCAGTGATTGGCTTACGGCGACCGTCTCATGTCAGACATGTGCGTCGAGACTTGTCACACGAAGTGATGCGTAATCCACCGCCGGCTGTCGCTATCCCGGCTCTGACAGGCCTTTCTGCACCCAGAGCACACCAACAGCCGTTATTATCCCGGCTCTGACAGGCCTCTCTGTGCTCAGAGCACACCAACAGCCGTTATTATCCCGGCTCTGACAGGCCCTTTTCGCGCCCAGAGCACACCGACAGCGGTTACTACCCCGGCTCTGACAGACCTCTCTGCACCCAGAGCACACTGACAAGGCGGGCTTCACGCCGCTCATGCTGGCCTGCCGCGCCGGCCACACCGAGGTCGTACAGCTGCTGCTGCACAAGGGCGCCAACCACAGGCACCAGGCCAGCGGCTCGCTTGAAACGCCGCTTACGCTGGCCTGCATGGGCGCTCATCACCAAATCACCCACATCCTCATCCAAAGGTAAGGTTCTGACCCCGATGTATGCGTGCATGCGTGCGTTGGTGACTGTGGCAGAGGTGGGTGTTCGTGCATGCCACTCGTGTGCCCGTGCATATGTGGCCTGGTCGATGTTGCAGCCGCCGTTTGCGTAGGTGGATGCATGTGCATTTACATTTGCCGAGGTTTGATATACTTGCATCCATTCGGCAAAGGTGTGTAATGCTTGCTCGGCACCGATCATGCGGCAACATCAGAACGGATTTCGCTGGTCAGAACCGCGCCGATGACTGACCGAAACGGATCCTCAGTTTTCCCCTTGACGTGATTCTCCACCTGTCGCTGGTGCCACCTCTCCCGGGCTTCCCTCACCGACGCTCCTGTGTCAGGGGCGCCCGTGTGGAGCACCGCAACGGCCACGACAACACGCCGCTGATGCTGGCGGCGGCCAGCGGCAGTGTACAGATCGTCCGACTGCTGCTGAGGGAGGCGGTCGACATCAACAGCAGGCGGTCCTCCCGCTCCAACGTCACGCCACTGATACTGGCGGCCAGCCACGGACACCTGGATGTCGTCAGGTGATCCATCAGTCGGCCCCGGGCTTCGGCCTTGCCTGGCCCGCGTCGCCAGAACAGCTAATTGCGTCGTCTTAGTACTAAATATGCCATGCCTAGTACTATATATATACTGTTTTTGGTACTATTTACGGCACACATCGTTTCGGTATCGTTCATCCCTTGCACGCACTTGCTGTCTTTGTGGGTTAACGTTCGAGGAACAGCCTGGAACCAAGCAAGCCGTTTTCCAAGCATTTGGTGACCAATACGTGCATCAGCCAGATATGAAGTTTTAAACGGACCATTAGACCACTGAGACAACCAAGAGCCAGAGGAATATCTTAAGATGCTAGAAATGTAATTAATCTGCTGCCGCCGACAGATATCTGCTGATGAAGGGCTGTGACGTCTCGGCCAAGGTCAAGGGCAACAAGCAGACGGCCTTGACCTTAGCTTGCTTCAAGGGCCACGACGAGGTGGTTGGTCTTCTGCTCCAGCATGGGGCCAACCCCGAACACGTCGCCATGTTTGGAACTTGTCAGGTGAGAAACGGACACTCTAACCGGCCTGTGCGATGAAGTCAGTTGTCAGCTATTCATTAGGCCAAAAAAGATGCTGTCGTATTGATGGCGCGTCTGCCAAGAAGCGGTCAGAACCGCAGACACATGTTCCGAGACCACACCTTGCACTGACACGTTTGCAGTTTGCAGTCTAATCCGACAATGGCATGACCTGTCTGCAGTCTGACCCGACGATGGCATGACCTGGCTTAAGTCTGATCTGACAATTACATAACATGTTTGCAATCTGACTCGAAATTTCTGCAGGCTGGATCGATATGTTATCCGTTGGACATCATGTTGCATGATGGCGTGGATGCGGTCTGCACTATTGTTGATCTATAAAGCCTAGCCGCACAAGTCAACAGTCTAACGAGATGCGGCTGTAGTCGGAACTTCCACGTCCACAGGGTGAACTGGCATATCAACAGTGACATATCGTGTCCACCGCTGGCCAGCCTCGTCCACAGCTTGACCGATGACCTTCGCAGACGGAGATGACGCCGCTGATGGCGGCCGCCTACCAAGGCTTCCCGAAGGTGGTGCGGCTGCTGTTGGAGCGGGACGTAGATGTCAACGCCACGGTGCCCGGCGGCGGCGGCAAGACGGCGCTCATGCTCGCCGCCTGGCGCGGCCACACCACCCTCGTCATGCTGCTCATCGCCAGGTGGGGATCGGTCGGCACGTGAGCGGGTTTACCATGGCGCGGCCTGGGTCGTCGGGCTGGGGCTGTGATGCGGGTTTGATGTGGCTCGGCTGTGGCTGTGTGCTGCTTAGGCGGTCAGGTGCCAGTGGTGCTTCTGTTTTGGTTTGGGTGCACAGCTGGCATCATTCTGTCGCAACGCGCAGCATTTTAAACACCAGGAGCATTGCCCGCAGCCCCAGTACGCCATCACCCTTGGCTTTGCTGTGCGTACGTGTTACTCGTCCCGCTCAAAACTAAGCTAAATGAACTGCTCTCCGAGCAGCTATTGTGGCCTGCTTCGTCAAAACCCTGGTTGATGTTTACAGAGGGGTGGCAATCGAAGCCCGCAACACGGCGGGCCGCACTGCCCTCTGGTGGGCGCTGGACGCGGGTCACGGCACCATAGCACGGCTGCTGCAGACGTGCGGCGCCTCGGTCGACGTGCAGGACACCAGACAGGTCGGTGGCAGGCAGCCAGGACATGTCGTAACGACTGCAGCAGGCATAGATGTGCGAGATGGGCTCAAGAGTTGACAGGGCCTGTGCCAGTCCAATGGAACACATGTAGCTCCTGTTCTCCTATTGGGCCGTTCTCGGCATTGATCTGTGTACATTCAAAGAATCTGTGCCGACCTGCCGTCATTGTACCTTCTACGTGCTGAGATTGTATGTACAACAGCGCGGCACCAGTCTGTTGGCACTACTCTTCTTTTCTGTGACCGAGTGTCACAATCGAGCCGTGTGGCGTGTGATCACACCCAGACTTTTTTCCTTGCCGCTTGTGGCTGCACATCAGCCTGCTGCGTCTCCGTTGTGACAGTCCAGGCTAACCTGCCCTCTGCGCGGTGTCAGGTGTCATGCATCATGGCGGCGTACCGCGGCGGCAACGTGGAGCTGGTGCGCTGGCTGTTGAAGTGTGTGTCGCAGCTGCCGTCTGTTGCCGAGCTGAAGCAGTGCCTCCGGTCCCGCTCGAAGAAGGTGAGGGTGTAACGCGGTCTCGGGGCGGTGGTGACGTGGCGTGAGTGAAGCAACCATGTGCTTTATAATACACTGGCGCTGTAAGAGGTGAAATCGTGGGGAGATGCCTATTACGGATTTCAGTTGAATGGTAACATAGCAAGTTAATATCTAGAGCAGCATCTAGAGACGTTAAGCTGCTGATGGAAAACGATTATCGAGACCTCTGAAAAGATCTTTCTGACCTCCTGTGATATGTTACTGGGTCACATCGTTACCTGATATCTCTCTTCCCCTTTGGTTAATTCGCCGCGACTGAGGCTGTGCAGTGGGCTGACTGTGGTCAGTGTGTCATCGCCGAAGGGGCATCTCGTCAGGACTCATGTCCAGATCGGCCCAGGCCCACCGCCGTCTTGTTGCCTGTCATGCCGCGGCTAGGAAGGCGATGTTTTAGTTCGTCGCCCTGCCACCAGGGGCGTGACACTGATCCCCCTTCTCTCGCCCGCAGCGCTCGATAGCCCTTCGCGGGCCCCTGTTACCCCTGGGGACCCTGTTTAAGCGTCGCGCACAGTGCCTGTACTTCATCCGAGCCGAGATGAAGCAGCGGGGGTACTGAGCGGGCAAGAAGGGCGAATCCTTCCTCGAAGAGCTGACTCCTGATGTCGCCGGGGAGAAGTGGAAGAAACCGGTCACCAAAGACAAGGTGCACTGGCGTGTACCTTCTCACTCATATTGCCCATACTAATGTGCCAACGTGACCGACATGTCGCCGGGTGAAATGATGTGTCGGCGCGCTGGCCAAGTGTACCGGGCTAGCACTGACGCCGGGTGAGATGGTGTGACGGCGCGCTAGCCAAGCTTACCGAGCTGGCACTGACGCGGGGGAAGTGTGACGTCAGAGCCGTGTTCTCTGCAGCTGTGTCTGGCAGCCCTCGTCCTGTCATCTTCGCCGCGGAAGTGGTCTGCTTGTGGTGTTCATGTATGATATGGTACTGCTTAATAAATACAAATGCCTTATAAACATTGCGTTTGCCAGTGGATGTGTAATTGTGCCACAAGAAATCGGGCAAAGGGCCACCGTCAGATGATAAGTTTCAGTGGTCTATAAAGGGGAACATTTCACATGTGAGAATGCTAAAGTAAGCATCAGATATGATGAAACGAGCTCACTTGTGACTATTCTTCACTTGTCCGGATTCCATCGGTCGTTTATTTGTATACACACGTGGTCACATCCAGTGGCGGTGCCCCGTGCTTCCGTAGCTACCACACGATAGCGGCACATTTCGCTGGCATAGCTTTCAGTCTGGTACATTCAGAGTTTTTCTTGAGTTTCTGAACACAAATGGTTCAACTCGTCAGTTGTGTTTGTACTTACTGCTACACATCTCTCCACATCGGATTATTTATGAATGAATCGGATGAAACCGGTAATGGATGGGTCGCGCGGTCCATTACGACATTGCCACACATACTGATTACCCAACAGCACACATAGGCGGATAGCGGGCACAGACAATGTTTCGTTAGACGGTACAGATAGGTTAGTGATCACTTGCTGCATTGTGAATTGCTTGCCAAGCCGCGTGCACTTGGGTAGCCCAGAATGCCAACGACCCAGAACAGAACCAGAAAACTTATAGAATACTCTCTGTGTTACCTAACAGCGCTGACAATGATCTGAATTTGTTATCCCGTAAAGGTGCAGCATGTGGTCATTCGGCGAAATCCCATGAAAAATTCTGAGTTGTGACCACTTCAGTTTAAAACAAACGTTTGTGGTAAATAGAGTTCTGTATATGTGTCCATTTTTCTTGACATATGGCCCCTAATTCATGCTCCCATTTCACTTGCGAGTGTATAGGTAAGACAATGTGTGCTGGTCATAAAAGCGTACTATAACCCCACCTTGCTGTTTCCATGTATGTGGTTATTTGATCATTTGCACAAGGACGGCTAGTAGCAGTAGGCCTTTCCTGCGCCAGTATCTCTTTCCATGATCTGAAAGAGGAATTGATCATGATCATAACATGGCATGATGAAGACATGATCGCGATCTGTGAGGAATGGCATGCGGTATGGACCGCCAGGTCAAAAAATGTCCGCACCCGACTTGTACGTGCAGTTGGTTAGCATTCAGAAGCTTTCGGTTCTGATAGTCATAGAACTCACTTATTTGAACAACTGAATGATGTATCACCTGATGCTTGTGCATAGACTTATTCTCCTCTAAATACATGTCAGAATTGTTCCATCGAACTTCGACTGGAATATTTTCTCCGTTAGCTTAGGCTGTACTTAACAGTACGGTTTGCGTCCAAGCATTTAGTACCTCCTACTAAAATACATATCCATCTAAGAAGTTAAGTGACTTTTTAGAGTCGATGTCACAGTGCAGCGGGGATTTTCGTCCTTTATTTTAAGTCGATATTGTATAAGCTCCTTCCACTAAGCTTTGTAGTCGGAGTCAAATACCTTCTTAATCCAGACAATTTTGAGGCTGACGGCTTGAACTGAAGGTTCTTGGATGTTCAAACCTCCCATGTAAAGACGGTTTTTGAGTACAGCTCGTTTTATTTTGTCCCGCAATCTATTCCAAATGAAATGAAAAATGATGTTTTCTATTTTCTTTAAAATCGACCTGTTAGACGTTTCTGATACTGTTATGAGATATGCCAGTTGCGAAAGGGCCTCCGACTTTATCGCGTCACCTTTCCATAGACCGTAAGGCTCCGCTCGAGCCATGGGCTCAGCTCTCCTTGCAGTCCTTCTATTTTTTCAGAGGAGTAAAGATCGCCTAGATTCTCGCATGTCGTTGTTCGTTTAACTCCCAGTGCAAAGCTGGTCTGTCCAAACACCTCGCGTCTTTTTTCCGTGTTCCGACCGGTCCATGAAAATGACAATATCATCGGCATAGGCTGATACCTTTCTTTCTGTCTCTGCAATGGTGAGCCCTTTGATAATATTATGTGCTAACGGTTCAGTTGAAATAAGAAAAGTAAACAGCTGATCGGCATCCTTGACGAAGGCTCTTGGAAATTTCGTATAGTTCTGGCAAATGTCCATTTACCTGCAAACGTGCAAACGCAAATTTGCCTGCAAACAACTCTGAATGATTCCTGTTTCATCATACAGCATGCTCACCCACTTCTGCATATCGGGACCGAAATCCAGTGACAGGAGAACGCTTATCAAAGACCCCCAGTCTATAGGAGCATAGGCTTTCACAGCAAATCACAATTCACGCCAATCACAGAGAGGTATCATCCCATGTATATCAGGGTTTCTGCGTATCGTTTACATCGATGATATGACGCACACTTCCACCCCCTTTCAATCTTTCCTTAAGAAAACCAGTCTGGTCTTCGTTTATGATCTCATGCATCACCGCGTGTAGTCGTTGAGAAAGTGCTTTGGTTAATAGCTTGCAGGCAACATAAAGACGGCTGATGGAACGAAGTGAGTCCATTTGGCCTTTGCCTTTGGCTATTTTTGAGATAAGAACGGTAATGCTAGATTTAAAACATTTGGAATGGCTTCTTGGTTAAACATATCGAGCAGCACGGACAAGGTAATTTCTTTCAGATCATCCCAGCACACTTTGCAGAACGGTACAATCAATCCGTCTAGTCCCGGACTAGAAGAGGCTTTCACTGAAAAGAGCGCGCTGCCTGTAACTCGTCAACTGTCAGCGGACCTTCACATATAGACTCCTCCAGGCGGGTTGTGCCATTAACGAATTCTTCGGGCCCAGTAATGGCCTCATCACGAGCGTACACAGCCTGAAAATAAGCACGTCTCTCTTCTAACATTTTTTGTACATCAGCTGATGTATTGCCTCGCTTTGTTCTGAGTGTTGTACACTTATTGTCTCTTCTGTTCAGAGCATGGAAGTATGGTGCGCCCTTTCCTGCAAACTGTCACTAATTCGTTCTGCATCGGAACATATTACTTTTTGTAAGTGTAGTCATTAGTTTGACACACCTTGTCTTCAGCTCCTCTGTCGCTTCAGCCGGTAGACTGTCGCTCTACCTCCCTGAACTTTATTTCGGCAGCTCTTTTCTTGTGGCTAGCATACAGAACAATACAATTTCTCAAAACACAAAACACGGTGGGTAGCAGGGCAGTCTTTTTCATCTTATCTGACTCGTTGTCTGTCACCGCCTTTTTTCGGAAGATCGGTGAGTCTATGACGTATGGTGCGGCCCTGATCTTGAGGTTTGTGCTAACCTGCGCTCGGCCGGGGGTCTGAGGCAACCGCATCTGCCCCGGGGGTCTGAGGCAACCGCATCTGGCCCGGTGGTCTGAGGCAACCACATCTGGCCCGGTGGTCTGAGGCAACCGCATCTGGCCCGGTGGTCTGAGGCAACCGCATCTGCCCCGGGGGTCTGAGGCAGCCGCATCTGGCCCGGTGGTCTGAGGCAACCGCATCCGGCACGGGGGTCTGAGGCAACCGCATCTGGCCCGGTGGTCTGAGGCAACCGCATCTGCCCCGGGGGTCTGAAGCAACAGCATCTGGCCCGGTGGTCTGAGGCAGCCGCATCTGGCCCGGGGGTCTGAGGCAACCGCATATGGCCCGGTGGTCTGAGGCAACCGCACCTGGCCCTGTGGTCTGAGGCAACCGCACCTGGCCCGGGGGTCTGAGGCAACAGCATCTGGCCCGGGGATCTGAGGCAACCGCGTCCGGCCAAGGAAAAGTTGACTCCCCCTGGGATCTCAAACTTTCATATATTGTACGAGAAAAACAAAGATACCGTTTTTAAGTCTCGCCACATCATGAAGAATGCACACCAAATGTCTGTTCTTGAGTCAAAGATGAAGCCATCAGACTACATGGACGATGCTTTTTTGTTTTCATTCACGATGTGCTTCCGGCTAAGCTTATTGTAGTTGTTGCAGCTGTGGGATAAAAGAATCCCAGACACAAAAATACCGTTGTATGCTGACCTGAAGGTAAGCTGAGGTCAACTCAAGTCAAGTTCAAAAGCCATTCAAATGAGGAAAAATTGAAATGCTATCCGGGTAAAGTTACCAGTGCAATGATCTTCTGTGGTCAAAAACAATGAGTTGTGCATCTACAGGTACTCAAGATCGCACAGCTTTTGTAGGCATTATACACAGTCCCTTCGGCGTTTGACAATGTATTTGTAACAAACTGAGAACAAGCACGTTGGAAATTATGTGCCATCAGCTTCACGAACACAATATAAAGGTGATAACATGCGTCGCACTCGTGCATTTAACCACCCCGCTAGTGATAACAGACGTCGTTGATCTTGGATGACCTCATATGACCTTACGTATTATTACGTGACCTGTTGGGGCCTTATGATGCATTGCAATGATATCACAACATGTTTTCAGTTAGATGATCAAATTCTGCGCCCAAAATTACCTATTGAACTGTCTATTTAAATCAGCCAGTATTTTGCAGAAGGTATTCATACAGGTAAGTCATGACCTAGGTCAATTTCATGGGCTCTGTGGTCATCTTATGGTTGTGCATGTGAGTTAATATTCTTTTCCTCATATGCAAACATCAAAACTACACAAAAATGTGTCAAATTTTCAGTCCTTACAAAAAAGTAAAAACTAACCTCATCTCAGGTCATTGGC